ATATATATATATATATATATATGTATACATATACACATATATATTTATATATATATATATATATATATATATATATATATAACTTTAAACTGTCTAAAAAATACCTGTTCATTTGTAACATTTTGGTGCAGTACATTTTTTTGTAAAAAATTGTACAAAAATTGCTTATTAGTGTAATTTATAGGAAAACAATCAAATTGGTAAGTGATGATGTACAATTTGATCAAATGTGCGAGTACATTTTTTATGTTTACATATATAACTTATAAACTATTAGCTGTAGCTTAAACTTGTACTTTAGTAAGTTGTAACTAATAAAATTCTCTACAATATTTTCGTAAACACAAAAAAATTCAGTAATATAAAATTTGTTTGAAACTAGTGGGTTTTGAGAGTCAAATACTGGCGTGTGGAGTTTACCTGTATATATATATATATATATATATATATATATATATATATACTATATATACACGAGTATAATATACGTAAAGTGTCGACCTTAATAAATTCACTTTTATAGCGAATAAATTTCGAAACCAAAAGTCCGAAAAAAGAAACGTTAAAAAAACATAAGTTGCAGGACAAAAAACTTTATGGACATGAACCGCTCTCACAAACACATTCGATTTATATAAAAACACGTAAAAATATAAAATATACATATTTAGGTATATATATATATATATATATATATACATATTTACATGTATACATATGTATATACATGTGTTACACGTAGTTTTGCTAATGCAATATTTTTAAGACTATTTTAAGCTATAGTTAATAGTTTGGGAACTTTATAACTCCACATATTTTGTTTCTAAGGGCGCGCATACACTTTGCACTTTTGTCGTTTTCAAATTGTACTTAATTTATTTATAAAAAAATGCAAAATACATCGTTGTTTCTCGAATATATCTACAAATGTATATTTTTATGTATATGTATGTTTGTATAATAAATAGTGATTCGTAAATCATTTTCAGGGCATGTAATCCCGTCAGATATTACAATGTTAATACTTTGAGTAAACAACGAGTGAAATATAAATAAAGCATAAATTCATTTCATTTCAACTATATAGAAATATTATTATGTTTGCACATCGGTTTCTACCCTAATGCCAAAATCGCGACACTAAAATTTAATGCCGTTTTGTTGTCACACTGCGGTGGTAAATCATACATATATTTATATACATATAATACATATATGTATATATATATATATATATATATATATATATATTTATACTACATATTTCAAAGGCCCAAATAACAATTAGTACTTAAAGATGACTATAGCGCCAAACGGAACGCCTGAAAAACTTTTCGTGTCTGAGTATGATTAATATAAAAACTAATAATAATAATTTTTTAAATTTAAATATACACGAATAAAAAAGGAACTGCACATTTCATATACCAAATAACAAATTTGCACTATTTGCATTATTTTCACCAATTTTTTAGTCACTGATGATGCCTAAAGTTCCAAACAATACGTCTTATAAACTATGTAAATGTTTAAACATAAAAGCACGAAGAGGAAGATAAAATTTTTCTGGCACTGAGGGTTTTATACCTTTATATGTATATACATGTATACATTAACACACATACATACATATACATATATGGTGTATACACAAATGCAGCTGTACACACATCGCTGCACAAAAACACATTAATAATCTTCAAACCGCGTTGTGTGTCACATTTTTTGCATTCAACTTATAATCGCATTTAAAATGTCAAAATGTAATGAATCATAGTTATATATGTACAAATATACATACATACATATATACATACATACATACATATTTATTTATTTATAATCGCCCGTATAAAAAAACGTTATTGCGTTCATCTAACACGATTTAAATTTACTTGTTTTTGTTTAATATAAAAATATTCGTCAGAAATACATTCTATACGTTTATATTAAAAGATTAAAAATTTAGTATTCATTTTCCTGTCATCGATAATCTTTTTTGCATCTGCTTATCAACATAGATCTTGAGTAATATAAATTGATGAAATAAAAAATGGTAAGAATCGTGTAATGTTTTTAAATTTATTGTATTTGGAATCATTTTTATAAAAATCTATTTAATTTAGTTAGATTTATAGGTGCATTTTTGAATCACTCTCGCTTATCTTAACCTAAAATAACTTAATTTCTTCTGATGTGCATTAGATAAAAGAATCTTTATTACATGATGTGACCTTTTTTGTTATTAATGTTCAGCAAATAATAAGATAAAATTTCAATTTTATTTACAAGCAAAGCTACGAATACATAACTATTTTTTTTTTTTAAATATAGGTTCAATGTTATATTAACACAATAATTGCCATGTCAGATATGTGCCTGGCACTAAAAAGTTCTACATGAGCCATGTCAGACATATATGCCTGACAAATTAACCTGAAAGTTTCTAGGCTTGCCAAGAAAATAGTTTTAATATAGGGTCAGTGTGGTATCAAAAATAGTGTTAATAATAAGAATAAGAATATTCTTCAGGTATTATCGTGACGATTGACATGTTTCTTAATATGACATTAAATTCTATTAAATATTTTATCCCTAAACCATGAAATAGACTTTAAACCGCCACCCATCTAATTTCAAGGTGGAGAATATTCGAATGAATGAATTAATTAGCGATCCCCAAAAACCGCCCTTTAGGAGGACCCATTTAAGGCGGTCGCTCGCCATAAAATAGACCTTTGTTTTAATTAACGGAAAATAAGAAGATGAGGCGTCGTTAATGAAAAGACCGAAAGGGAAAAAAACGGATCCGCCGGGTTAATTCGCCGTTAAAAAGGGCGCGCCGGTTTAAAAATCTTATTCCTGGTAACCGCCTCTTATTTGCGGCGGTCGTTAACTTTATTTAAGAGGACGAAGGGTCGGGTAATCGATGGAAAAAAGGATGGGTAAAGGAGTTTAATTCGGAAATATCACGTACACACCTAGTTTTTTGATTATGGATTAGATAAGCTTGTTTTCTCATTGTAAGACAAGACAATGAGTCAATGGTAATCCATGAAGAAAAATAAGACAAGAAAGTAATTTTCTTCATAAGGCAAATTATTTTATTCAGGTTAATGTTCGTACGTTTCGTGCAATGGTTGTCATCATCAGTGACTAGAAATTGAAATTAAAAAAAATTCTTTCGTTATTAATTAAATTTTATTTCTAAACCAATAACATGAAGAATTTAATAATAATAATTTTATCTGATATTTTAATGCACTTTGAATGTATCATCTTTATTTTAATGTATTTTAGACGTTTCGTAGCAAATTTTAGCCATCTTTTTAATGAAACATAAAGGTTTCTTTTTTTTAAATAAAAGAACATTATCTTATGCAGACTTATGTATCCTTTGAAACTAATGAAAATAGAATTGCTTAAAAATATATATATAAATATTTTGAAAGCCATAAATATAAATACAGCCAAATTTAAGATTAAATTCGGTACCTACTACCTTATATATATACCTACATATAAATATATTTGTATATATGTATATATGTATATGTGATATATATGTGTATATATGTAATATACATTTATTATATTTATATGCAAATAAATTTGCATTGATCTTTGAACCTGTAAGTCACAAAATTCTCATAAATATGACTTTAGTAGGAATTTATGTCCTCAGATTATATATATATATATATATATATTATATATATATATATATATACATACATACATACATATTTTAGGTTATTTTTTTTCTGATTTTTACTGAAGTTAACAAAATTCAATAACCAAAAAAATACTACTAGCGATTTAAATTAATTGTTTTTGTTATTTTTCTATTATAATTTATATACAAATCAGTCGAGCAAATAAATAGGAAAATGAATTTAGATTTTTTAGTCTTTAGTAACTAAAATTCATAATTTATAGTGAAATATTCATACTTGTACAATGATTTTTGGTGACTGTTTATTTAAAAAAAAATCTTGGTTTCAATAATTTAGAAGTAAAAAAAGAATTCTTTCACTTTTCCAAATAAATTATAATTAATTTTATGAAATTTTGTTTGTTTGTTTTAAACAGTTCACCAAGAAAGGACATCCTATATTTTGAAAATATATTTTAAATAAATTAAAATTAATCCAATCATTTTTAAAAAGGAGACTTTCAGATAGATGTATATATATACACAAACACACATACATATAGGAATGCCTAAAATGTGCATAAATTTATTAAAATTAATAATGGCTGCCACAATATTTACATATATAAAATTATACATCTGTATGTATACATATATACAAAGTGATAATTTTATACATGTATACATGTATATGTCCCCTTCATATTTGTATGCATAATTTTTTTATCAATTTCACAACTTTTAAGCCACGCCCCTTATGCTAATATACATATTTACATATTGTATCTTTGTACATATACATATACATACACATAGATACATATATATATATACAAATATGTATATAATAAAAGCAAACTAAATTAGTTCGATGAAACTTGTTTAAATCTGTAGACGTTCCTAATTGTCTTCTTAAAAATCGTGCGATTTTAGGGTATACCGAGTTGATGTAGAGGATTTCGTTGTTATACAATTTTGTAGATCATTTAATTTTGCACAATTTTCTCAAATACATCATTCATATTAATCGAATGGTTTAAAAGTTACAGATGTTATAATAAATAAAAGCATAGACGAGTACAATTGATAGTTTTTTTATATTAAAAAAAGTATCTAAAAATAATCTTAATATTTTTATTTTTTATTTTCAGAAAAAGCTACAAGCCTGAAGAAACTTTTCCCAAAAAAACAATAGTGTAGTGTTAATAAATTACTGAAGTGCAAATTTTACTAAACCATGTCTCCTCCAACAAAATCAACCCTATCGTGACAAACGTCATGTTCCAAAAGTGACATCCCACCAAAAGACACTTTCCAACTCCCAACTCCACCAGATTCTCCCAAAATGTCTTCGTCACCAATCGACGTGACGAGTTCGTCACGATTGTCGCCGGTCCTGGTCAGGACGAAGCCATGTGACGTCAGGTTGTCATCGTCCGAAGTCACCAGGAAGATGACATCTCACGATGTCAGGAGGTTGACGTCGTCACCTGTCACCACGGACGGGGTCACGTCGCCACCGCATAGGCCGTCTCCTGTTAGGTGCTGTGATACTGGTAAGATAATGGATGATTGACTATATTTTTTTGATGTAACCTCTTCCACTTGCACTACCTTTCCTGACCAACATTATGTCATAACCATCACTTTCCAGCAACTTGTATCTAGAACAAAATGTGCAAGACCAGTCCTTCCTGGTTTACTAAGTTTATTTGACATTCTCCTATTGCCTGTATTTGTCGTGCTGTAACTTCTTGCACTCCTGATACCTTTCCTGAGCAACATTATGCCATAAACATCATTTTCCAGAAACTTTTTTCCAGAACAAAAGGTGCAAGTCCATTCCTTTCACGTTTACCAAGTGTCTTTGACCTTCTCCAGCACGTGGCAAATCTGCCAAAAGTAGTCAATATCTCTGCACCATGCTCCCTCCAAATATCCCTAAAATCTTCCTGAGTATAGTTCTTGTTTTCCTGCTTTTACATTTGCACTTCCTTAGAAGAATCCACACCACTGATCTTCTAATTTTGTCTTCCTATTTTATTGTTCCTTCTTCTATTTTCACTTTCTGAAGATTCCATGTCTCTGATCAATCTAAAACAAAACTTTGAAAATAATATATTATCAATTGTATTTTATGCAAGTCCAGCAGTTTCACCATCCAGTGATATTTTTTCCAATTTTTGGAATGATTTGATGTTTTCTTCCCAGGTCGACCTCTATACATGGACCCCATCACCGGCCACACGATATGTTCCTGCCAATACCCGCCAACGTCCCAAAGTTTTCCTCATTCCGCCTTGGACAAAACACCAGGAATACCAACAAGTGAAAACAGGACAAGTGGTGGCAGTCCAATAGTAAACTCCACGAGCGGAGGAGTTTACACGAGTACACCAAATAGGTAATAAGACACCCTCAGTGCACCAGTACTTCTTACCATCAATGTACCAATTCCTGCATCTTTTGTTTCAGTCCTGGTTCGAGTCCACACAGTAGAATTCCTCATAATCTAACGATGCCAGGTGGTCTGCCTTTGCCTGGATCGTTAGGAGCGCCTTTAGGAGCCCCTTTAGGGGCGCCAATGGGTGCAGGACCTTTGAGCGGGTCCATGGGTCCATCGATTGGGGGTTCATTGGGAGCAATACCCGTAGGGTATCCTTTGGGACCTTTAGGAGGCTATGGACAAGAAGCTGCCTTGGCAACGATGGCTGCAATGTACTTTCCCAACGCATACGGGGTGAGCAGAATATATAACTTTCACGTAACATATAAATATACAAATTTATTTATCGTTGACCCCTGACCACGAAATCAATTTGCCAAAGTTTGTCAAAACATTCTGCAATAAATCATTCCGATTTATCAGCTCGCGTCCATGTTTTCCAAAATAAGGACACATGTTCTATCTTTTAAAAAACATATGTAAGTCTAGGGTCAAAACGTGACCTCAACAATACATTTATGGATTATGATGAATTTTTATATGAAAACTAAATCTTTTAATGCACGTTCAGGCACGTCGGAACTTATAATAGATGCATATTATTTCGGTTGAAAATTTGATGCTTGGAACAATAATAATAAAATACGTGGGCATGATCAGTAGCATTAATATATTGAGATATTGAAATAATTTGGTAACGTTTCGATTTGTTAGGTATGACTTTCCTCAGTGCCAACCTATATAAAATTCTATGAAGTCAACAAACTAAAATTTTGATATACTCGTCATAAAATCGGCTAAGTTGGAGATTGCCACTGGCACCAGAATGTGTTCTAACGTTCCGACTTGCAAATTCCATTCATCATCAATATTTTTACTAATTTTTTTCCTTTTTTCAGAATTCTGATCCTGGCAAAGAAGCCTACTATCCTCCAGCAATGGGAGCCTACCATCCTTACCACGATTTTGCTGGTTATCCATTCAATGGGTAAGTGAACCAAAATTTTCCAAAGATAAAAATAAAAAATTAATATGACTCTTTCGGTATATATTTATAATTATACATATACAAAAAATCAAGTGCGGGGGGATGTTAAACAGATAAAAATATAGATAGGACTCGTTCGGTATATATTTATATTTATACATAATCAAAAAATCAAATGCGGGGGGATGTTCAACGGATCTTAGACGCTTTTATATGAGTTAAGTGGTTTTTTATACTTTTTTCAAAAAGAAGGAAACTTGCAAATAAGCAAAAAGAATATGAAGTTCTAAATGTTATAAAATTTTATTTAAAAAAATATTTATTGCAAGTGTATCCGGAGTTGAGTTGATACGATTCTAATTGTTTAAACAATCGTCGTATAAACAAGATAATTAATATATATATATATATATATATATTAAATTTTTTATATAATTTTGATGTTGAAATATGTGATATTCAGTTTTCAGGGCAATACATCAATTAAAAAATTTGTATGACTTTAAAACAATTTTATTTTTTCCATACGTTTCGACACATTGTTTTGTGTCATCTTCAGTGGACTCTAGATTGAAAGAACAGATAGAAATTATTAAATAAAACTAAAATATAAGAAGTGATATGGTATGAACTTACATGTAATTGAATTAATCCTAATTATTGCATATTATAAATGTTCACAATGCACAATCCTAATATATCATATTATAAATGTTCACAATGCAACAACAAACAATCCTTGTCATTTTAAATTGAACAATATATAAATTTTTGAATGAGATTTTTTATGAATTTGTAAAGTAAAATCACGCCGTACATTTCTGTGCTCCGATGTAAGGCCGACGACTGAATGTACGTCAATGTGCGAACCACGTGTTGAGGGTTAGGTACAAAGCAAACGAACTGACCAAAGAATTTAAGATTTGACAACGCGAGAGGGAACATATAGTGAAATATAGAAACATGACAATTGTGAGGGTGGACAATTTGTAAAATTGAGATAAAAATTAAAAGAAAAGAAAAAAATAAAATAAATAAATAAAATAAATAAATAAAAAGAAAAATTGGCATTAAAAATAAATATAAATAAACGTCGATCATGATAGGTAACTATTTTAAAGGTATGAATTTCGAGACATTGTTTAAGACTACTTGGTAATTTTCACACAGTGAGGAAATATCCAATCTTTTGTTTAAACTATTTTTGTAAAGATGTATCAGACAAGATTCTGAAAAGCGTCTCTGAGACGTATTCGATTCGTGATATAAAATTGTGGCCACATCAAAATTGAAAATATGATTGAAACTTGTATGTGGTCGGTTATCATAGTTTGGTTTTGATTTTTATTTTGGAATTGTTATAATGTTGTCTAAGACGTTTTTTTAGATGTTGTCCAGTTTCGCCAATATAACGTTTATTTATATTTATTTTTAATGCCAATTTTTTCTTTTTATTTATTTATTTATTATTTATTTTATTTTTTTCTTTCTTTTAATTTTTATCTCAATTTTACAAATGTCCACCCTCACAATTGTCATGTTTCTATATTTCACTATATGTTCCCTCTCGCGTTGTCAATCTTAAATTCTTTGGTCAGTTCGTTTGCTTTGTACCTAACCCTCAACACGTGGTTCGCACATTGACGTACATTCAGTCGTCGGCCTTACATCGGAGCACAGAAATGTACGGCGTGATTTTACTTTACAAATTCATAAAAAATCTCATTCAAAAATTTATATATGTTCAATTTAAAATGACAAGGATGTTTGTTGTTGCATTGTGAACATTTATAATATGATATAATTAGGATTGTGCATTGTGAACATTTATAATATGCAATAATTAGGATTAATTCAATTACATGTAAGTTCATACCATATCACTTCTTATATTTTAGTTTTATTTAATAATTTCTATCTGTTCTTTCAATCTAGAGTCCACTGAAGATGACACAAAACAATGTGTCGAAACGTATGGAAAAAATAAAATTGTTTTAAAGTCATACAAATTTTTTTAATTGATGTATTGCCCTGAAAACTGAATATCATATATATATATATATATATATGTATATATATATATATATAAATAAATGTATATACTTATAAATATGTAGGAAATTTGTTCGGACAAATATATACATACATATGTACATATTGTTGACATGAAAGATTAGCATTGATTAGTCGTTAATTAAAATGTTAATGAAATTAAATTTGCAATAACAACTTAATTAAATTTATAGACGCTCTGATATAGATAATACACGTTTATATGTATATATGTATGTATGTATGTGTATATATGTATCGATGTATGTATATATATGTATCTATGCATATGGGTATACTTTTCGTGAATATTATTTTTTGTCATAAGTGTCAGGACATGTGTTGCACAAAATGTCAATCAAAGTTGTCAACAGCTTTTTTCCATTTCGACACAAAAGATACAAAAGCCTAATAAAGTATATATATATATATATATATATATATATATATATCTATATATATATATATATGTGTGTGTGTGTGTGTGTGTGTGCTTGTCACTTTTACGAGGTAGTGTGATTTTTTGCTTCATTATGAATTTAAATAATATAATACTCCTTCTGCTAATAATTATGGTTTTGTGTTAAATTACGTCAAAAAAATTAATTTTCGCATTAATCACATCAAATGTCGAAACGTATGATAAAGACGTTTTTTTTCTTAACTTATTTTTTGATTTCGACGAATGGGCTGTTAAAACATTTTTTCAAATATGTTTGAACCTCGAAAAAACTATCAAGATATATATATATATATATATATATATATATATACGTGTGTGTATATATATAGAAAGGTGTGAGTCAAATATATATGCGGCATAAAATCCAATATACCTTTTGTGAAGTAACTCAAGTGTTAAGACACGCCCTAATCATCCCTGCTTTTGTATGAAATGTCTATACGAAACGTATTTATATATACAGGGGTGCCCCAACGTACGTACACTATGTATACACATTTATATACATATATACATACATACATACATATACATACATATATATATAGACATACAGAGACGTCTGTACCTTAGGGTTGCACGCCCAGAGCCAAAACTGTAATTAAATACAGATCTATCATGCATGATATGTAATGTATATATATACATACATATACATACATACATACATACATATACATATACACAAATACACACATATACCATCATTCTTTAAAAAATTTGACCCTAGAAGATTTGCAGAATCTTGTTTTATTCAACTAGTGTTAATGAATTTACAACTAGTGGTGCATAGCATCGTGCCTTAAAACAAATTGCAGGATCTTCCCATACCGAAAACTAGAATTAAAAATAACTTGGCTCTTTTTGCCCCGTCGAAACGGCAGTGTTTCAAACGTTCAGAAACCTCTGAAACGTAGAGATTAATAAAAAAATTATTTACGATCTTTTGCGATTACTAAAATTTACCCTGAAAGAAGTTAAGAAGTTGACTTAGAAGATTTGCAGAATCTTGTGAATTTGCAGATTAAATGTAAAATTGAACGTAACTGTACTTCTTTACTTTTTGACAACAACCAAAATTTAACTTAATTTTGTCAAAAAATGTTTTGTTTTTTGTTTTTTCTTATTTTTCACACCTTTTTTGGTTTTTTGATACCTTGGATAATCAATTGATTTCAATTTTTATATTATAAAAAAAAATATAAACTTACCAAAAACACATTTGACACATTTATAACTTAAAAAATCCAACTAATTATTAGATTTTTAAAATTTACTTCCATCTCACCTGTGACAATAAATTATATGGTCACAATCGTCTTAACAGGATTTCAATGTACTGTATAATTTTATAGATTATTCTTTAATCAAATTATTTATAATTATTATAACTAACTTTGTATAAAAGGTCAAAGAAAAAATTCGTTGATCATTCAAAAAATAATGCACCTGTTGGAGAAGTATTTTGTTTAACCAAATTGATATGGATATTTTGAGTTTAGTATTTGTAAATTGGAATAGGAGACTTTGAACATTATATATATATATACATATGTATATTTGTTCTCGTCCAAGTTAAATAATTCAGAAATAAACTTGATTCAAACTTCTCTTGAACAACTCTTACGCATAAACTAGTTTCTTGAATAATATATTTGTATAAATATATATATATAATATATATATATATAATATATATATATATAATATATATATATATATATATATATATATATATAATATATTATATATATATATATAATATATATATATATAATATATATATATATATATGTGTGTATATTTGTATATGTACATATATATTTATAGGGGAAATCGGACAATTCCAGAATACTAAATGATCGGTCAGTCCGAATGTCCATCTTAATTTCGAAGCACTTTCCGCTATTGAATATATATATATATATATATATATATATATATATATATATATATACATCGATAGGTTTTATCACTATATACACTAATAGATAAAATGGGTTAATTTTAACCCACTATACTATTTATAGTGCAGCGACTCTTAATCTAACGACACAACTAAATAATGCATTTTTTATTATATCTCTTGCAACTTTTAAACCATTCGATTAATATGAATGATGCATATGAAAAATTTGTTCAAATTTATTCAGGCTTATATACATTTATACACATCTTACATGTATTTTTATATACATTTGTACATACTTTGACCAATGTTTCAGTAGTATTTTTATCATAATTTGGAAACCCGAGAGATATTTTAACAAAAATTACTATGTTTTTATTCAAATAAATAATTTATAAATTCGATTGTTGTTATTCAAAAACAAAGTGATTTAAAGTTCAATTCGCATATCATATTGTTTTAAACAATTGGAATAATTTATTATATATACTTTATTGAAAATTAAAAATGTTATAAACAAATACATCAAAACTTCTTTAAGACGGAAAGAAAAGTGCTTTTTCATTGGACTGATAA